GAAAAAATATTCCCTGAAATTTTCAGCGTCCGAGCTGCCCTGGCTCCCGAGATAATTTTTTCGTTAAAACTTTCGCGAGGTCCAGGGCGCGTGAAACCTGAATTTGAATTTGCGGAATCACATGTCGGTAGAGGAAATTCCTCCAAAATTTCAGCTTCCTAGCTTTCACAGTTTCCGAGTTGAAAATTGCGGACAAAACGCAGTAGGAAATATACACACGCACTCAATCAGACACACATACAGACATGCTGGTGACAGTATGCGTTCTGTGCAGCTGTTGCAGAGCACAAAACGCATAAAAACCAGCACAAATAATTAAAGTTGACTAAAGAAAGTTTCAGTTTCCCAAGCAAATTCTTCAAGGATGCCGACAACTGTATTTGCATGTCTCTCTTAGGGGGGAGTTTTTAGGCAGTTGATTTAAATCATTTTTCACCAATAATGCAAAAGCAACAATTGATGAAAAAAATATTTATCGAGCAAATTACAATAGATCGATTGCACATAACAGCCTTCTTGGAGACGCGCAAAGCAACAGCAGCTCACGGTTTTTTTTCCGGTTCTGCAAAACGAAAACTCTATCAATTAATTTGATGGTCAAAGAAAAGGAGTTGGACAACCGAAGTAAACGTGTGGTCAGAAATGATTGCCTTAGCGCAGGTTTTTTGCAGCGGAAAAACCAAGCTTATTACATTTCGATAATACTAGCGTATGCAAGGAGTCAAAAGACTGCCCTAAGCTTGCTTCTAAGGCAGTCCTTGGCCATCGGCAGTTTTGTCAGTATGCGATAGTTAGCTAACATTTGTCTAACAGTATGTTGTTAAGTTTCTGCACATGATTTAACAGTGATATCAATTATGCCGCTCGTAAATAGCTGACCTAGAAGCTACTACTTAGTAAACAGGACTTGCACCAGAATCCGTGGCCGAAGCCAGTGGGGTTACCCCTAAATTTGCTGATTCTCAGATGGGATTAGAATCAGATTTTTTGGATTAGAATTAGATTTTTGGATTGAAAAAATTGGATTGGTATCTATTACTCAACAAATAAATCTTGCCTGGAAATTTTTGCTCATCGAATAGATTCATCACTAAATAAGATTTGTTGGGAATTTACTGTTCAGTAAAAAAGTCTAGGCTGGGAACTCTTTCTTAGCAAAAAGGCCTGGGCTAGAATCTATTGTTCAACAAAAAAGCCTACGCCAGAATTTATTGCTCAGCAAATGGCATGGTCGCGCAAATAAGGCTGCTGTCCACTCTGTCCACTGCTGGACAGGCAAATTTAGCCTGGAGTCTATTACCCGGCAAGTACGGCTTAGATTATTATTAAGAAAACAAAGTTAGCCTAGAACTAGCTGCTGTTCATCACGCGAGACTTGAGATTTGTTGATCACTTCAAGAAGCGGTTAGTAGTCTCTTCCGGCCTCTTTCGCTGATACACCATCGGGGAAAGTCTGCTTGTTTATTGAAGGACATTTGAGGTTACCTGCCATGGCGCTGGCACCAGTGCCAAGCTGCGAAATACCGCTTATCTGCGATACACCAGGGCCGCCAATTTGCGATTGGCCAGGGACCATCTGCGACATTTGCGATGCTCCACCAAGTGTTGTCATCTGTAACACGAAGTGTTGCGTCATTATTAAGTAGCGTATCTCAGATCAGATTACGGCACTTAATAGACCGAAACATTTCGCCTTCAGCTACTTTCATTTCATTTCTGGCTCTATAGTAATATTTTTTGTTTTTATAAATTATGTATAGAATTAGTACGTTCACTTCCCCCCTCCTCTCCTTCTCCTACACTCAGTTGGCGAAACAAGTAAAGCCTTTGGCAAGTGCTTCTGTATGGAGAATTGCTAATCTATATTCCTCTTCAGGAAACAGAGTTCCAGATTACCACCAAGCGATGCAGCACAGATCAGCACAACTCTGGGCCGAGGGAGTGGGGGGTGGAGAGGGGAGGGGCTGGCAATCACGTAGCTGGGAAAGCAGTCTGTAATTTACAACTCTTTTAAATATCCTAGGTAAATACTCAGTTTCTGAACATATTTTAACATATCCTACTCTTTTTTCGCTTGAATAGTGCCGAAGCATTGCAGTAGTGGCCATTATTTGTGAACAACAATAAATACAACAATAATTAATAATAATGACGATAGTAACAACAATGGTACTAGTAATGATAATAATAGTAAAAATATTGGTAATAATAACAATAATAATAAAAATAGTAAAAAATATTTGTAAAACATAAGTTAAGCGGCAAATGCAGTGAAGGAGGCAAATTGGAATGCAAAACACTACTAGAAGAGCCTGCGAAACATACCATGACACTCAATTTCACGTTTTAAAAAAGTGCAAAAATAATAGTTTTAACTCAGTTTCTCAGTGCAACACTAAAACAATAAATAATCGAATGCTTTCGGACGTACAGTAGAAATTTCGCCGGTCGCAAACTTGCCAAACGTTTTTTTCATTTCCGCATTCCAACGTTTGTAATATTTTTGGGTGTTTCTGCACAACAAAAAGGCACCACCAGCGACACTGTAAAAAAAAGCCTTAAGGTTTGAATTTCTGACCTTAATTTTACAATTTTTTAAAAGCTTTTTTGCCCCATATGTTGCTCACTATGTTACTACTAAGTTTTTAGTGAAAATTTTTTTAAAACGAAAATTTTAAAGTTATCTTTTAGAGATAATTTAAAAAAATACACATTTTTTAAAAATCCGTGACTGAAAAATAATTAAAATACTTTCCACAAATTACAGCTTTTTTTAAAATTGGATTTGACTGAAAAGTAACATTTTAGTTTCAAAAACATGGATAAATTACCCGAAGAGAGTGCCAGCAATAAATCCGATTGGAATCGACCAGATATTAACTCCTCTTCTGGCACGAAATCTTAAAAATGGTACTGTAAATTATTTCCATGAAAACCCAGACTTCTACAGACACTCCACCGAGCAGTACTACTGGCATCAAAACAACATCCGGTTGCTTGTAAGCAAGTCTCGAAAGAGGAAGCATCGGCAAAAGTTGCCAGCGTATGGATGCAATTGGCATTTGCTACCACTCGGACTACTCCCCGAATGTCACGCTTTTCACAGTGAGCGAATCAGGAAGGAGGAGGGGGGCTATTTCGACATGATCTTCATAAATTCTAGTTAAAATCTCGACAAAACCTTCATGATTTTTGATTTTAGTGAGAAATCCTAGAATTGAATAAATATCAAAGGCACTTACATTACTGAAGGACGGAAGCTATAAATACTATTACGTATCATAAATGTGTGCAGTGTTCGAGGTGCCTGAAAATCTGGGAGCGTTGTTTTTGAATTTTCAGGTAAACGGGTAGCCTCCAAGAAGCAAGCAAGGAAGCTTCAGTTGAATAGGTAATGAGTATTGGCTGAAGACCGAAAGACTTAGCATAACTGCAGAAGGCGTGCGAGTATAACATCGTAAAAACGCAAAAATATGCGAACCTATTTTGTGAAAGTGATTCCAATTTACTTCGTTACTTCATTTTTATGAAGTATACACATTCTGGTTCATTTTCAAAACATTTACGCAAATAACTTGCTATCATTTTGGAATAATGAAAAATGTCTCCACGCACCAAGCAGTTGGTGCGAGCATGTATTTTTTGCACAATTTTGCCATAAAAGCGCACAGTTTAATATGCGCACTGCTCCAGGAAATGCTTTGATTGTGAGGGGTTCAAAAATTTCGCATTTTAAAATTTCATATGCCCATTCACCACAAGTAAGCGCATATGCAATTTGAATTCACGTTTCTTGGTTCCCTAATTAGTCAGAGAGTAACTCCGTAAAATTCCAGCTTTCTAACTTCTGTAGTTGCTGATTTAAAAAAAAAAATCAGACAGGTACCCAAAGACAAACACAAACATGCAACATACACAAACATAAATACACATGAGTTTTCGACAATATACATTTTTGCACTGCAAACACCAGTGATGTAGAAACGCATAAAAATGTACCCTCAGATGAATGTTGCCTCATGGAACTCTCACAGGATTTTGTCATAACATAATTGCCTCGAGCTTATTTTGCAGTAACAGGAGGCTTACACTTGTAAGTTTTGCATTTCTTAACCAGGGAGTAATTGCGCTTCACAAAGTTCAACCAAAAGTGAACGACGAGGGATTACCTGCCGAAATCCTCAAAAATACGATTTAAAAAAAAATTGCACGCCCAAAGCTCGAGAAAACTGCGTAGGTAAAACATACCCAAATTCGGGCACCGCACAAATTCGCATCCTGTGCCAAAAGAAAAAACACTTGTTTCTTTTCCGACCACAAATCTTTGTTCTCATAGAACGTGGTATAGGCGGGTGTCGTCTTATCCACTGATTCTCGAAGCAAAGTTGGTCCATGCCTCACTTCCAGACCAAGCTTTGGCCTGTCACCGCTAGGCTAAAATGAAAGGTATAAGCGAAATTCCACCAGATCTGCAATATTATTCGTTGACAGTGCCAATGCATTATAAATATGGCTTCAAAAATTGATTTTCCCTGTCGCACTGAATGTGATTCGTCGCTTACAAAGTATTTGACCGGTGTATCAGCAACTGGAGAGACAGACACACATTTTTTTGACGTAGTAAATACACCAAAAATATCAAAGACCGCTCGTCAGAAAGCGTAAGTGATTTAGCTGCTCGACATTAATGCTCAGACCATCTTTCCAGTTCACCCTCCGAAATGCCATATCGAAGCAGAAAGTGGAAAAACCTTAGTGATATGGAACCACTCTTTCTCATTTAACCCCTGTTCGCTGTAAGGATTAAAGCGAAAAAATGTTTTGATTATCTTGCCCAAAAGTTGTCGCATATATTTCTCTTACTAATAATGAAATTATGTAAATTTGATTGCTGGAATCAAATTATTCGCTTGCGAAAAAATTTGTTTATAACAGTTTGATTTTAGCAATAAAAATTTCAGTCCCTCTTCAGATTTCTGGTTCATTTCGTTAGAGTGTTGATGGAAATGGTCCATCAGCACCAGCCAACTTTTGCAGTGAAGAAAGTCGTTGACAGCCTCAGAAGTGAATCGTTTCTGTAACTATCTACTATCACTTGGATAAATTTAGATGCCTCTGCCCTTCACATTTCTTGAAATACGATGAAAGGGAGGGGTCAGAAGGTAATTTAGTAAGATGGTAGAAAGAATTTAACCAGCGGTAGAGCAGTAAAATGAAGTACGTTTATGTGATTTAGATAAAGAGTAAAAAAAAGACATCTAGCCAAGGAGAAAATAATCCGGTCAAGCTCCGTCCCAGATTTGGCTCCATTCCAATAATTTTATAGTTCTTTTAGCTAGTATTTTTCAAAAACAATGCATACTTCATTATGCAGGATGATCGTCTCCATGTTTGAGATACCAGTCATTTTGCTACGATAGCTGCGGTCATTTAAAGCTGGAAAAATTCCTCCTGTCCAGTACTGTATTTTAAGAATAATTTCAGACAAATTATTCGACTCTATGCCAAAGAACACGGCTCACTGTGACAGGTGTAGCGTTGCTCTCGTGCAGTAGAGGTTGAGGATTCGACTGTTCCCTCACCTTTTCCCTTGTTTAGAAAAAACAATCTCTTACCGATTCCTCATTCGCTTCGATGGTAAATTGGTGGTAGCATGTGTCCCTCAAGGATTAAAGACTCACCAGATTGCTTCAAAGTAACCCTCGAAAGAGGAAACCATCACTGGCTGATTACTACTGGCAGATGCTATCACTAGAACTATTTACGTGTGTTTCCTGTTCATAGGGGCGAAAATGATATCAGTTTTACAAATCTGCAAATTTAGTCAAAAGTCAAAATTCCCTCCGTCTTCACTATTAGACATATAGGAGTGTACAAGCTTCATTTGCAATCTGTGAAGCGTAAGGGCCGATAGTGTAATGGATAACACACCACGATCTGGAGGATCCGGAGATGGTAAAAATAAGGGACCTTACTTCTTCCCGGTCCAAATCCTTACAGAAAAGGCTTCATTTATGGCACCAAAGAATTGTGAAAAGGAATGGCGATTGCGAAGCAAAATTTTTTGCAGCACAATTAGCGTGACTCCTTATATCTTAACAGTTTTTTTGATTAGATCAGTGAAAAATCACATAACCAGGTCCATGGAGCAGTTGTTTTTTTTTTTCAGATGGCTCATTTCAGCAGTTCGCTTCTGAACGAAATGGTTCTTAGAAACTTTACGCCAGAAACTAATCGTATCAAGGCAAACTCTTGGTCGAGTGCGTTGCGTCGAAGACGAGGCGAGGGAGGAACCGTGTATTAGACAAAGAACAACCAACAATAACAGTGAGAAATGTGGTAAAGGGAGCTTCTCATAAAGTGTGCTATGAACGCATCCTGCCACGCATGCCAAGTCGAGCACAACTGCTCGGCACGACAACACATTGTTTGAAATGACACATTTGGTGGAACTACAGCAGGAAGTACCTTGGTGTATTTTCGAGTAGTGTATGTAGCCTTTGGTCCGGCTTGCATTATTCCATCGCCATTCAGCCGGGAATTCCCATTCCAGTGCGGTCCGACCTTGGCATGCATCTATTTCGTAGGCATCCCGTGACTGCATCGCATACACCTCCCGACTAATCTTCCAATCATAGGTCTTATCGCCTAGCTTCACTTTGGTAAGTATTTTATAGTGGTCCGCCAGAATGTTTTTAAATCCAAAACACAGTTTAATCCTGAAAAAAAATTGCTCCAGCCCAATTATCAAGAGATGCAACACAATCTGCGGAAAAGTGAAAGCTCGTACTCGTAATTTTTGCTGCCCTGGATAAAAATTCACGCCGAAAAACAGACTACTCTACGAATTCTAAATGTTGTGCTTAGATCCAATAATTCGACCTTTCGGTTACAGTCAAGAGACCCTGTTTTGCATTTACTTTTTAAATCTAGCACATTTAGACTGAATTTTCCAGATTAAAGTTCAATTTCGCAGCTAATTTGTTAATTTTACTGCAAAAAAATGAAAAATTCATAATCCATTTTGGAAGCCATGAATAAACCGGGAAAAAATTAGGGAACCCTCCGCATCTTCAAAATAAATAGCTTTGCGCGTGAAGCTACGCGTTTCTGCAAGGTTTTGCCCAGTAGATGTTTACTCTTATTATATGCACTGATTTTGAATATATTCTGATCGGTCTTTTTTTTTTCGAAAGAAATTTCGATTCAAAATTCTTCAATTAAAATATTTTTTTTTCATACGTGACGATTAGGGGACGTGGAAAGTTAACATCAAGCTTTCAGGCCCAATACAGACATATGCTTTCACATGCATATGCGCTCCGAAAAAACAAAAGGGATCTTCACAATATGTGTTTTTTAGCGCCGCTAATGCAGCTTAAAATTGCAAAAAAATATAAACAAGCTTTTTAGAGCGAGATTGATGTACGTGGCCGAAAGTGGCACAAAATGAGGACACACGGTACATAAAAGAATCCTGAATGGTGTATGTCTAACAGTACCTTCATTTTTTTTTTTTTTTTGACTCATTCCCTCACAATCACTTCAGTAAATAATATCAGCACCTAAGGGACGTGAACTGAGGGAGAAAAAGCGAATACTATTAATTTTAACAAAAAAATTTTGGCTCCAATACAAATGAAAACATACGCTTTGCACGTTTTGCGTGTGATTCGAATGGCAAACGTAAGATTCGGATGTTTCAGCGCTTTACCTTCCGGCGCAAGCACAAAATTCACCTCCTCGAGATTTGATGCGTGGCTTTCGAACGTATAATTACCCTTCGTTGTGACCATTGGTGTCATAAGCAGTGTCACTTTTGAACTCACTTTTGACGAAAATCGCTATGAAAAACAGTATCAGTTCAATTCATGTGGCATATATACGTTTGCATATGTTTGTATGTGTGTCTTTATTTTTGCTGTATGTATGTGTGTTTGTGTTGTGCATGTGCGTACATGCGCAAACGTGAAAAACTCCTCCAAATAACAGGTCCCTAATCTCCCCGGTTCTCGAGTTATTAATTTTGGCGCCAAAACTTTGACGTGACTGTACGTGATACTTAAGCATAAATGAAGGCTGGAAATAAACTTGTGTTGTCAAAAGTGAGTGGAGAGCACTCTCCCAAAATTTCAGCTTCCTAGCTTTTATGATTTCCGAGTTGAAAAGTATAAATATATACATATACAAGCAGATGGGGTGACAACATGCGTTTTGTGCAGTTGTTGTACAACACGTAAATGCGTGTATTCGTGCAATGTATGCATATTCATGTCTACAAGCATGTGTTCATATGTGTGCACATGTATTCGTGTGCGTGTACGTCTGTCCGAACACATACAAAATTACCCATAAATTGTGATTTTTAAAACACACAATTATCCTTTTGTTTCTCGATACTCCTCGGCCTGTCTATAAATGATTTAGTTGGCACACAGCTGACAAGTACCAATCAAAGGTGAAGAGTTCGGCACAGAAAAGCACGAGAACTTGTTGCATTGTTACATCTTGATAACATCGAGGGCTTCGCGTCTATGCTTCGAGTGATCTCGGTGAGACCAGTGATTTGTATTCATTCCGAAATCATTTTACCTCACGTCCTTCAGAAAAGACTCCCGGAAGCACAAACAGAGCAAGCGGCAGAAGCGCTTTCATGACTGCTTCGGATGCAGTACTGACCGGACAGCGGACGAGTAAGATGAAAATGAGCAAATCAGGAATTCCTGCAAGCCTAAATACATTTGAAGAAAGGAAATTTTGCATTTTATGCTAATTTCACCCCATGCATTTGCTCTCATTTTTCCTGCTATCCTTATTTATGCGTTAATTGAGTACTTATGCAAATGCAAAAATGCATATTGTGACTATCCCTAGTGTGTTTGTATTTACGTTTGTGGGTGTGTTCTGTCTGGGTATTTTAACTCGGTTACTTACACGATTGCTTATTTACCTGATTCCTTACTTATCTACCTACTTATTTAGTCATGTGAAAAATATTAATCCATCATTTCTGTGGCCAACAACCATGCCATTTTCTTTCTTCATTTTGCAGTTCTTCTAAAACTCCGTCTGATGATCAGTCTTTTGGCGATCTAACATTCATTAATTTCGTCTTCTGAAAAAATTTCCAGCTCCAGTGACTTACAGCTTTTCATTTTGTGCTAATTTTCCAGCGGTTTTGACGGACTTACTGTGTAGCAAATGGTACTTCTATTATGCCGAGGTTTGTAGGTTCTGCCAGTTGAGCAACTAATCTCTCTGCGATTCGTTTATTCTTTCCGATGATTTATATTGCTCCTGGTACATTGAGTATCGGCATGAGATTAGTTCTAAATAACCAGCGAAGGAGGGGACCATCGGTATGCCTTTCGGGAAACATAATACTAAATCTTACTTAAATAACTGAATTAACTCAAATTATGCGTCTGGTAACTTTTTCAACTGCTTTGACCAGTACTGCATCTTTTGGTGGTCAGCTTCTTGGCGATCTTGACATTCATCACTATCAGTTGGACAATTTTTCGGATCGAATTACTCAATGAGGTCCTAAGCGTCTCGTGTCCATGAGATGTGGTGAGCATCACCAGCATCACCATCGTGCTCAATGTTAGTAGACCTAGACCAGGATGAGAATTATTTTTTTTAAATTTTCTAGTTTTACAGCAATTCTGATTTTTCAGCAAATTCCAATTTTTTGATTTTTTTGGACCGGAAAACTTTCGGATTCCTGATAAGGGTGAAAAAAACCGGTCGCTAAGCGATGCAAAGAAAATCTCCACTCCACGAAAGTAGCAGTTTCTCTCACTTTGAAACCTTGCAACATTCCAAGATTTGGCGAAAGCACCCAAAAACTAACGAAATAATGTGTAAATCGTGGAGAATTTGGAGAGGAAGATCTATTCCAAAGTAGTGCACGTCTAGAGATGTCTCAGATTGCGGTGGTCGGCGTAGTACCATTTCTCGCAATTATCACTCAAGTGCTGTAAAATTACGTAATTATCGGGTGGTTGCGTGGGAAGGAGAAGTAGGGGGCGGTTTGGGGGGAGGAGGTGAGGGGGGTATTTGAGTTAATGGGGGGTCCATTTTACCGGTTTTCGGATATTCGAGTTAATGAATCGGTCCATTGTACCGGTAGCTTTCCTGTTGTTCTTCAAAGCATTACTTACACAAGCAAGGTGCTAACGCCAAATTCGGCTACCGGGCATGTGCCAGTACCAATTTACCATCGAAACGAATGAATGAGTGAATGAGTCGTAGAGGGATTGACTGTCCCAGGGGGCGGAGTCAAACCTTCGATCTTTTGTACGTGAGAAATGCTATTTGCCATTGTTGGAAGCTGATTACGAAATTTCGGTTAAAAATTCTTTCAGGTTACATATAGGGGTAGGTTTAGGCACGATATTCAAAGGAGCAGCCGTGGTACATGTTTATGTCGTTCCTGGAACGCATCAAAGAATTCGATGCCTACACCAAACCACTTGAGGATTTTCGGGTTCGAACGTTTGCTGGCGGAACTGGTATGTTTTTGTTTTGCTTTGAGAAAACAGATACCACACGTAATCACGTGTAACACGAAGGGATGTTGTTATTTGATGAAATAAAAAGAAAAGAGGAATTCCGTAGATTTAGATTCCGTGTATCTTTATATGCCACTATATTTTTATAATTTCAAATTTCAATACGATGCTTGCGTAGCAGTAATAAAAATAGGCATTGTTTTTAATGGTATTAATAATTTGATATCAATAATTTTAATAATGCTGAGAACAATGGTTATTTTTATCATTTGCCACGCAAGCATCATATTGAAATTTGGAATCTTTGAACTGCACATAGACAGAGAATATCTTCGTAAAATTTTCGCTTCAAAAATCGTTTTTTTTTTTCTCGCCAAAATTTTTTCACATTTTTCGTTCAGGCGTCCGTACGCGAGATCTAGACGAGATATAGAAACCGGAGAAGATTACTTGTTCGTCGGTATTCTGGGTTTTAAGCTTCGCCAGTTTTCTCACTCCCACAGGGGCACCATTTCTCGTCCCTCTTTTTGAGTCTCTCCATTGTGAATCATTTTATTTTCGAGGGAAGTGAAAAACTTCGTTTTTCAGTAACATTGATTAGTGGTGCGGTGATTTTATTTATGTTTATTTCGGAAACTTATTTTTTTTTATCGGTGGATATTGTTGAGCAACTGTATGTGGATTCAACACCGGCCGAACAACGCGTTGATGTTCATTTTGATGTAACATTTCCTCGTCTACCATGTTCCGGTAAGTTTTACCGCAAATGATCCGAAAGTTGCGGGATGTGTTAGTGAACTGTACACATGCCTTGATGAAGCTACAGCAGCTGATTGGAGTACTCCAGCAAAGTTTTTTAATAACTTTTGTTTGTGAAAGTCATCTGGTTATCTCTCTCTCTCTCTGAAAATCATGTTTTTACGTCCGTCTTATAAGCTTGAGAAGTTGAGGGCCGAAATTTCAAGCTGCTTTTGGGTAAATTGCAAGCTTTTGGTTAAGTTGAGGGCCGAGATTTCAAGTTTTTGAATAAATTTCAAACTTTTGGTAAGCTAAGGGCTGGAATTTCAAGCTTTACCAAACGGCTTTTGAATAAATTTCTACACCGGCCTTGGCTCATTTTCCTTCCATATTGACTAAATTTTTGAACCTGTTTTGGTTATTTTACACTCAGTTCGGTCAGAATTTTGCGCTGGCTTTGGCTATTTTTGCCCCACCTACCTCCCAGCATTGACTAATTTCAGATTAGGTTTTGCGTGTGTTTTGCATAAACGTGATCTTTTAGTTAATTTTGCATGCTTGCCCTTCAGTACGTTTGTCCGAAGTTTTCAGACTAAGAACCAGAGAAGCTAGGAAGCTGAAATTTTAGGAGAATGTTTCTCGTCCATACACTGACACCAAAAAATTTAATTTTGACTTCCGAGTTGCACCTAGGCCTTACATTCGGGTCCAGAATGATTATTTGGGAACATCTTTAGCCCAAAATTACCACTCCTTGATGTTGCACTGCGGTCTTTTACTTTCTCCTATACTTTTCTTTAGCTTCTCTTCGACAATGTGTTGGTGTCTTCTTGTCATCGATACAGCAACTGCTTGTTTGAGGGGTAGCAGTTTCCGAATTTTCCTATTTTGCAATAACAGTACTTCTGGGCGACATCCTGTATTTCAGTGATAACGGTGGATGTAATGGATTTGAGCGGTGATAATCAGGATGACATAAAAGATGATGTATATAAAGTCAGTTTAATCGATGGAAAAGTGGATGGGCAGCAACACGTCAGGCAAGGCTCGTTTTCGATACAGTTTGCTCATTTTTTTTCATAATCGATCAGTCGATTACTTTGCTCATAAACAGAGTAACAGACTGATCGATTAAGGACAAGTCTGGTACAGTTTGCTCATAAGCACTGCGACCGTTATACTGATGAGGTCCTGTCGCGCGGTGTTGAGTTAAGACGTACATGACTCTTAATGGACCGGAACGTCTTATCTCACTCTTATCGCCTTCTCTCATATTGTCCTCTCATGCTGTAGTCTATCATGCCCTTCACCGTTTAGACTTTCATGGTCAACCTGGATGCTACATTTGACTTATTGTCTGGTGCTTAGATGGTTTGGTCAGCTGCAATTCACAGCACTGGCGACTTTTCCAGTTGTTTTGACCAATGCTGCATCGCCTGGTGGTCAGCCTGCTGATGACAAGATCCATTATCTTGACGATTATTATGTGAAAATTTTTGCAGAAGTAAATATCAATGCAACTGCAGCAGCTCCAGTAACCACAGCGCAGTTCATATGTGGTAGTTGCTATGGTGCAAGAGACGGGTATTTTTTTTTTTCTTTGATTACTTTTCTCTTCGATCCTGCCCTTCAGGCTACTTTTGAGTACCCTTAGTTTCTCAGGGGGAGAGGAGCTTTGAAGAGCGAGGCCCCCTGTATATCACCCAAAGGTTTCAAATTCAGCTTTCACATACGCTAATGTTTTACGCGCCGGTGAATTTTTACTGGGAAATTTCGTAACTTAGAATCCAGGCGAATGTATTGACCATTTTTGCACACATGAAAGTGTAAAACAGTGAAAACTCCTAATAGGCAAATGTCCGGTGGACGGAATTGCGTAAGAGGCATGATTCCCCCGGCGATTTTGGTGCTCACCGATATTTATTAAAAATGTGATTCGCCTTCATACTCTATTAAATTCTTGTTCCATCGCCGTGCTTTTTGTCAGTGTCTTTACAGTTAATAACTTTACCATTTCTCTCTATTTTCATATAGTCGTTCAAGCGAACCCTTCAGTTTCTTAAGCAGCTTTCTGTTTATCCGCTTGACTTCACCTGGGACTCATCTGTCCTACCTCTGGTTATTCCTATTACATGTAGGGTTGGTGCGACCCTTGCCGGTCGATACCCTGCGCTGAATGGGCCGCTGTTCCTGGCCCTGGTTACTATTCTCTTCCATTCCTTCACAGGGCCTTTGAGGCCCGTACTGCCTTTTACTTCATCTGACAGCCTGTTTTGTCCATATGTTATCTTTATCCTTGTTAAATGGCTAGCGATCAGGCCAGCTCTTTTTTTCCTGATTTCTGAATAGATCTAAGCCATTTTAGTAAAAACACTTCTTTTGTCTTTTTAGGTGTTGTAATAGTTGTGATGATGTACGGGAAGCATATACGCTGAGAGGTTGGCAACTGGCTGATATCGAAAATGTGGAACAGTGCAAAGGTGATTCGTGGGTGCAAAAAATGAGTGATCACAAAAATGAGGGTTGTCGAGTTTATGGCAAAGTTCAAGTAGCTAAGGTATTTTCTTTGTTGTTTTTATTCGATTTTATGACTTTTTTAATGCTATGCACCACCTACACAAAAAGCATATTGCCCTGCCCCTGTCTGAGTGTGTTTTTGTGCGTCCAAGTGCATTTTGTCTGCATTTTTCAATTCGAGAACCACAAAAGCTAGAAAGCTGAAATTTTGTGAGGTAACATACCTTCCCCAGGTCCAATCTCAGAACTATAAATTCAGCCCGCAATTACATCTAAGTCTCACTGAGTGGTACCGGCGAGGAAAAAAATAACCAGGCATTCTTTTAGGCATTTCCAGAATATGTGAGATTTTCGCACTGATAACCCTTAAGGCCTTGGTTTTCTCAGGACATGCCCACGTTATTTTTGTTTTTTACGGTTTTTACTTGTGAAATATGGATTTCTCAGTCATTGTTCTGTTTTAGGTTGCCGGTAATTTCCACATTGCACCGGGTGATCCGCTTAAATCTATTCGATCTCACTGTAAGTTTCTTGCTTATTAAGTTAACAGTCAAGAATTTTTCGCTTCTCTCAGTTAATTTTTATCCTCTCTGTAACGATTAGTTCAATTATTCTTACCATAATCAAATATTTTTAAAGAAAGGAGGGCCGTGCTGGCAGGAAGGGCACACAGTTCATCTTCTTTTATAATGCTATTGTGCAAAAAATTCAAAATTCGACTGCACTGTTTAGAGAACCGGTCTTCCTACGATTCATTCATTTTTTTTTTTTTTTCGATAGTAAATTGGTACTGGCACGTGCCAAGAAGCCAAACCCTCCATCAGCTTGCTTGTAAGCAACCATCAAACTGAAAAGTCAGGTGCAACTGCGTCAGCGAGTGGTTGTTTTTGGTAAATGCTGCCCTCGGAATGCTTTTGAATGCCTTTGCTTCTCACAGAAGGCAAATACCGGTAGGAGGTCAATTTCTGATTTTGAATGGTTTTATCTGAAGTACCGAAATTATTGCTGTACCAATTTACCGTCGAAATGAATGAATGCTTCGGAGAACGCTAGTTGTTTCGCTAGCGAGATCAGTTTGTTGATTTTCTGCTTGTAAGCAGCAAAGTAGCGATTGCTGTACTTAATTTGTGATTTCTGTTGTACTAAATTTTGAGTCTGTCCACGAAGCAATACTTGTTATTACAGTCCACGACTTGCATTCGTTATCGCCAACCAAATTTGATACCAGCCATACGATCAATCATTTATCATTTGGCAAGCCATATCCTCGAAAAGTTTATCCATTGGATGGAAGATCATTTGGATCTGAAAGAAAATCAGGCACTTTTTTCAGCATTACTAAAATTAGATTCTAAGAGATACCTTTTAAGTGGTAACAACCCTCTTTTTTTTGATAGAGCATTTCATAGGAAAACCGCGAAAAACCAACAGAAGAAAAAGTAACACAAAAATAAATACTATCAACACAATAAAATAAATATAAGATCAACATTTATCTGTGTTTCATCCCTTAGCTATAAACACAGAAAACTGCTGGTTAGGTGTGAGCATCATCAGTATAGCCTAATCGAAGTACTGCAAATGAAAACGAAACTTTTTTACAGATGGAATGATGTATCAGTACTATCTTAAATTAGTGCCAACTTCATATGTGTATTTGGATTCATCTCGAAATGTCTTCAGTCATCAGTTTTCGGTGACTACATATCACAAAGATATCGGTCTGGGAGCATCGGGTTTGCCTGGTTTTTTCGTACAATACGAGTTCTCGCCGTTGATGATAAAATACGAGGAGAGGCGTCAGTGAGTTATTCACTTTTATACGTTTTTTGCATCTATGCAATGCAAAAATGCATATTGCAGAGGGTTTGTCTGGGTATGTTTTTGTGCGTGTGTGCTCGTCTTTGCGGATTTTTCATTTCGAGACCTACAAAAGCTACAGAGCTAAAACTTTGGTGACTTAATCTACATGCATCTACGGGCCAGCATCCCCAAAATGAGCGTTCCTACCCATGTGGTCCTCGTGTACGGGCCCGTCAAATTTTCTGGCGGGTAAGTTGCTAACTCGAGAACGAGAAAAGCTAAAAAGCTGAAATTTTAAGGGGATGTTTTCTGACAGTCCTGGTGAACAGTCTTAGTTCTTATTAGCTAGGGGCATCTGCCAGAAAACAGTTCCGCTAGCGACAAAAACCAGCAGAGAACTATACAAAAAATGCATCTTCGCAACGGCAGTCAGTGGCAATTATTATTTTTGGGAAATGGAATGAAGAACCTTCTAGCTTGTTTTTACAACGAGTAAATTGTGAGTTTTATGTGGCCTTCGAAGTTCCTGGATAAGTTAATGCATATTAGCGAAATTTCTGTTCATACATATCTCTCTGTGCATATGTGTATGTACATGTATATACATGTATATACATATTTACGTATGTGTCTTTCAGGAGGAAGAGGTTCCTGAGAATTTTTGCGGTTTTTCCAATGTTTAACTGGTTTTTCTTATAGATTTTATATGATTTTAATGCATTTTTTATCACTATACTTATCAGCGTTCAATTTCAGATCGTTATCAACATTTCTTGTTTCACTCTGTGCCATTATTGGTGGTATTTTCACTGTTGCAAGCTTAATTGATGCATTTATTTATCGCTCCGCAAGGATTATACGGCAAAAAATTGCCCTTAATAAATTTACCTAGCGCATTTTCTTAATTATTGTTGTTAGGAGGTTTTTTTTTGGAATATTTTGAGGAATATCTTTAATGGATTGACAGCGTGCCAACGTGCCTAGTGTTTGTACGGGCTTCTAGCTTTACCAAATTATTCCATCGTCGGGCGGGGTGGGGAAGGAGGACGGAGGGGAGGGCGGAAAGTCTATGAATTGAACTGGCTCCTGTTGAAACTGCCACGCGAGGTTTCTTCGATTTGCTACCGCAGCAGACCAACTTTAGTACAAGCAGAAAATAAGAGCTTTGATGTAGACTGCTTTCTATGAAAGAATGATAAAAACAAAGGTCGACGTCACTTCGAAGAATTTATCGGCCAATCCTGCCCAAATTTTGCATTGAAATTACCTACTGTGGCCTAATCGGGACCAGAAATCTTGGGCATCTGTTAATCCACAGTCTGCTTTTCTGATTTTGGTGCTGTTTTTAGGGCTGAAAAGGGATCCCAGCTGTTCTTTTTTTTTTCTTCCCTTTCTCTCGATTCTTCAGACTTGACGTTTTTATCGTCATTGCCTCAGTTCAGTGTTCTATTCATACGTATACCAAATTATGCATTCATTTTTGCGGGTATGTTTTGTTAACCTATCTGTTTTTTTTGTGCTTTAAATCTTTTCGAAACAATGATTTCTTGCCAAGCGTAATGCTACTGTGCAAAATTTTGGAAGGCGGCAAATTTTGCCGCTCTAAAAATTTTATAGAAACGTGGTCACCTTGTGTTTTTTCAACAGTTGCAGTTTTTAGGACCTTTTAATGCAAAACCGTTTTTCCCATATACGTAGTGTAAGGGCGAAGCCTTTCTCTCCCCACCCCCAATCGGATTCATAAAACACAAAAATGAAATAAAAAGCTAAGTCATCTTTCGATAACATTTCAGATGAACGTCGGGAAGCGAAGTTCGCATCGGAGATCGGACCTCCGACAGGAATCCGACAGTTTGTTCCCAGTCCACCGTCTCCCCCGCTAACTTTTTCATCTTAGATTGGATCTGTGATGGTAAAATTCATCCCTGGTTCCCATGGCACCTATCCTGGAATCCTGGATGAAGGCCGTTTCGGAGATTGTGATGTGTGGTATCTGTTACAGGAACATTAGTAAATAAGACGGTCGACCCGATGATTCGGGGTCCGCGTATGTCATTCGTTCACGCCTACCGTCTAAGTGCCTTTCATCAATCGATCTATTCAAACCAGTACTGCTGATTCGTCGATTACCCATTGTGTTCAGCGTCAGCGTCTCATACAATAAACTATCTTCTGTTTTAGGTTCATCCTAGCTTCCTAATTGGTTCCTTCGGTCCATCGGCACTTTCCATACACGGTACCAGAAGTAATACATTTTTTTAACTGTAGATTTGGAAATTAAACTGAAAAAAACCAAAAAAATACCAAAAAAATTTCGGTAACGTTATATCATTTGGTAGATTGGGACAGTGCCTTTAATTCAGTCATTTTTACCATAAATTCTCATAAATTTAAGGGGCAACAGCGAATTTGAAGAAGGCTAATAAGCAGTAATAGATCACTTGCTCAAAACCTCCACCGTGTTCACTTTCTGTCAAAAGTATCTTAGAGGTAGCAAATGCCAACAGCAATCATGCACTGGCAAGGCTGTTGATGGCTTCCTGTTTTGAGGGTTGCTTAGAAGCAACGATTTTTTCTAATTTAGCATCGAAACGAATGAACGAATCGTAGAGGGATTGGTTGTCTCACTGGCAGAGTTGTAGAAAGGAACCTCTTCAGAATGCCTCTGCAAGACTATACTGTTTCTCTTTTCGTCCCCGATGTCTTGGTTTCTTTTCATTATCTGTGCCATTTCTTGTCTGCACAAGCAACAGGGTTTGACAAGGGCTTGCGTGAATGACCGAGAAGTGCATCATCTTTTTCGAATCGACTGAAAAAAGTACCGAAGCAGCAGCCTCGAGTGAACAGCGGTTTTTGTCGAGGGCTTTTTCGATGGCTTGTTCTGGAAGACCTGCATTTTTTTGTCGGTGCTTTGTTCTTCGAAGTTGTATTTTACGGTGCAGTTTTCGGCGGCATTCAATGATGATCGAAGATAGCGATGGACAATTCAACAATTTCGTTAACGGAGACGAGCCATCCTTAAGCTTTAGCGTTTACCCATTAGTTTACAACAGAAATCGAACATCCTGCCTTCTGCGCGACAACAGGTATTACTCGCACTACGTCATGCCCATCCGCAGGGTCAGGTGCACTAGCATGAATCGGGTCTAGCTAAGCTAGTTTAGCAGTACATATTTTGACTGAATTTTTCATTTTTTTTTTTCATTTTTTGCTTTGTTATGTGTGTGCGCTTGTGTTGCTTATCCAAAAGGACCTAGCTTTTCTCGGCAACAGTATTAATAAATATTTTGTTATTGCTTTCTCCAGATTAGCACGGCTGCACACATCTGCATTAGGTTTCGCCGCAGTTAGGGTGGTGTGTTAACAAATCGGAAATTTAATATTTTGATAGTGTTGAATTGGAAGAAGTTGACAGATCCTTGGCAAGAAGTTGTCTATGAAAGAATTTTCGATCGGAGCAGACCATGCGATGTTGCTGGTGTCTTAAAAATTTGGAGAAGGAAAAAGCATGCCCATTTTCTCATTACCATTGCGCTGAAAGCATTTAGGGAAAAATTGATATTGATAAAAGCAGAAATGCGAACACTGGCTGTGGCAAAGCTAGCAAGGGAACGAAGAATGCTTGGCATATCTCTTCTTCACAACAATACAGAATCAAACTCTCCGTCAAATGAGCGGATCTCATTTCGACCAGCGGGAAAGTAAAATTCGATGAGCAGGACCATGTTGCTTGTTCTGCTGACGACCGAGGGCGCCACAAGCCAGTAAGTGGTGTTCACGCGAAAACCCACAAATTGAGTAGTCTCAGACGAGCGACCTACCTTGCGTAGTAAAAGCTGTAGTTGCAAACAGGCGACATGCAAGTTCGTGCAAAAAGCCATGTGTAGCTATATTGGGCCGTGGACAAATTCTTGTAACATTTGGGTTTTCACAGGAACAGCTTAGATGATTTTAAAGAAAGTTTAAGGACGTAGCTTAGGTGACAGATAAGACTTTAGAAAGGAGTATCCCGAGAAATACTATCAGCCGAAGAGCAATCGAAACCAAAGAAGTGTCTTTTTATACCTCAGAGCAGAAAAAATTGAAGAATTTACTAACTGCATCAACAGCAAAAAGAAACGCGATGACGAAACAATACATGATCAAATCAACAAAATAAGAAATTGCGAACCAGAAGTACTTTTTTTTTAAATCAATTTTTAAGGCATTAGTTTTGAATCGGGAAACCATCACAAAAGATTATACAAGGCAGTTTTCGAGAAAAAGAGAATTCATTCTTCAGCAAATAGCAAATTTTCTTCCTTATAGCCATCTCGAAGAAATTTGGGACACATATCAATGAAACTCTTGGTGACGATATCCTGCCCAAACACCGTATGAATAATTGATCGCCGTTCCATTGAATCTTTGTCGTATTCACCAAGAACCTTCAACGGGAGATTAAAAGAGCCAAAAGATCGCTTGATACAACATTTTTTTACTTTTTCAATATTTCCCCAGCAACTCGATAAGCTAAAAATTAAACCGCTCCACGCTTCATTTCATTAGAGGAAGAAGCACAAGGAAAGTAATCCCGGTTGTAGCAGCTGCCAACAACAACCACTCGTTGGCATATCTGCCGATGGCTTCCTATTTCGAAGGTTGCTTATAAGCAAGCTGACGGTAGCTTTGACTTCTTGGCATATGCCAGTACCAGTTTATCATCAAAATGAACAAGCTAATTGAAAGAAGGGATGTTTGTTCCCCAAGAAATGGAAATCGAAGGTTACTAAAAATTGTTGGATTTATTTCATCCGTTATCAATAAACCTTGGCGTGACTGCATCCGGTCTAATGGGAACATTCCAGCAACAATACTAGCATATGGCACTCAAACTGACAGCCAGGGTGGTCTTGGTGTCCTTATTACTCTTGGTATAAGTAAA